AAACTGATGCACAAAACGGTGTATTTGTGAAAAGGTAAAAAGTACTACACACGTGTCTCTGACGGGAGCAACCATATCTACAGTGGCCTCTTTTTACGTGACCACTCAGAAACAATTTCGTTAGTTCGCAGCACTTCCCCCACTTCTATTACGTGACTATGAATATGCATAGTTTCTCAGACCGAGCGCAGCGTAGAACGTAAACTATTCCAGAACGTATTGGAATTATTAATAAAATGTAAAGAAATAGTAAATAGGACTAAATCTCTTTTTAAATTAATTTCTGTAAATTTTCAACAGAAATTCCATAAGGAATTTTAATGGATAAGTTTGAGTTTTTGATGAATAAATGACTATTCTGATAAATTGGCACTTAAAACTAAGCCATTAAGGTCTTAATGATCTTTTAGAGTCATCTGGGATAAAAAGAGTTAGTTGCGACAATAAAATGCTACAAGAAAAGTAATTCCTTGTGACATTTATGCTCTAAAATAAATAATATTTTGATTGTGCAAGCCCTAATATGTGAGTACTAGAAATCTTGAAAAGTTAACTACTCATAATTTTATGGGTTATATCGGAACCCGTTGTACTAAGAGTAAAGAAAACGAAAATCGCGGGAAATACAATGGAACGAAGAGCACTGACGAAAAAGAGAAGGAAGGATGCCGGAAGTGTAAAAGCGACGAGGGAAGGATGGAAACGGACATGGCATTATCAGAGTTTCCGGCGTTTGCTGATAATAACGCCAGCCAACCCAGTAGCCACGTGCGTACGCGCAACGTTAAAAAGTGCGTTGCTTACACGTATAGGCAAATTAGAATTATTTAAAGCGAAAGTTATCGCCGTGTAATCAAAGATTGAGAGATACAATTTTCTTCGATAATTCCAAAAATGACGTGGACCATTACCGGTGCTTAATAAAATGCGAATCCACGTAAAGTCGCGCTTATTCTTCCTACGAAGGGCTGAGCGTACGTGTCACTTGACGACGAAGAAAAAAATAAGAGAATTCGTCTCGAGTTACTCGGTGAAAAAAAAGTAGAAAAGCAAAACGGAGAAGAGGAGAGAACGAAGAGAGGTCGGCGTACGCGAGCAGCACATCCGGCAGAAATGCGACTGGGAAGCAATCGGATATTGTATGTGGGTAAGCAAGAAGCTGCTGATGCCGTCCAAGTCCTACGAACTCTCTTAGAGCATATCACATATGTACATGCGCGAGTTGAATTGCGTTCTCGCGCCTTCATGACGCCACCTTGACCCACAAATAGTGGAATATTAATCGTCGAATTAGCATCGTTGGCGAGAAATTACGAGTATAAAGGATGAAATAGTTTAATATGACGACGTTACTTTTTAAACGATAACATTTGAAATATAATAGTGTTATACATACACTATAATTATATTATATAAATATAAACAGTGTTGGTGAGAATATGTTATATATGTTTAGTCATAAGTAGAAAATTTGATCGCCCTTTTTCTTCATCTCGTAGCGTCGTATCTTTCGGACGAAATCAAACTTGAGATCAAGACACCCTGTCGCTTGTTTGAATCGTTTTAGGGCGTTCCTAACGTGGCAAGCAGTTTTCAAAGTGGAAAAATGCCCGTAACTAGATATGAAAGGACGCAAGGGGAAGAGCCAGGGAATTAAAATGCAGGCATTGAGTTACCGAACCGACGAGGACGAATAGGTCAGAGGACACGAGAATCTTCTTGAGATAGGAGCGAAATCAGACTGGGAAGCAATCGGATATTATGTAAGCAAGAAGTAGCTGACGTAGCTGGATATACTGTACGGAGTCTCCTCACTACGTTAGAAGTATGTAGGGTTCACGTTGCACTTTCGCACCCAAACGGCGCCCGTTGCATTCCGACCTTCGTGACATTCTATCCTCGCTTGCATCGCGAGAAAGAAGACTGCAAATCGTTGCGGCAATAAAAAAAACGGAAAGAAGTAACGGAAGTACTAAGCGGTATAGGAAAAAAGTAATCAAAGTAGCACATAGCGCACATTTGGATATCGCAGATTAAATAATAAATCAGATTGTGGCGCATTATTTCTTGTAGTATTCCAGCGAACTTAATTTCACAGTTAGACGATTATACCTCGGCGCGATAATAACTACGTTATCGTCGCATTAACATTCTTGTTCACCTGTGCTTTTGTTTCCTTTGGCCGTTCTAATCTGCCCTCGGCTTTGTGATACTTATTATTTCATACAGAAAGCTCAATCAATTATCAGCGGTGTGTGTACTTGCACGACTCGTTCGCGGCCAGATGTGCAGACATTGCAATTAATTGCCATTTATGACTTGGATCTTCCCATTCTTCTCATTCTCAATCGCATTATTAAACATTTAAAGAACTAAAGATTGAGAGATACAAAAATTTTCTGCCACCAATTTTCATTTCTCACAAAGTTTCGTGACCAACGTTCATACAATTTCATACAAGTATAATAGGAACTCGCGGGAAGTAGCGCGAGAGATCGCCATATTAATTTTAAATAGGCTGAAACGGCGACAAATGCAAATAGAAACGAGAAAAGCGAGTTGTGCGCGTATACTGGTCTAAGAGAAAAAAAAAGTTTTCGGATCAACTGGATTAATTTAGGGACGGCCACGTGCACGGTCCTTCTGGATGATGCACGGCTCTTGCGGTGCTCTTGCATCGACGTATATACGTGTACGAAAGTACACCGAGAGAAATAGTTCTCCTATAGGTAGGAGGGGATAGATGTCTGGCACGGTTAAACTTAAATCATAGCCAGCATGGACTCGCGGATGAAACACTCGAGGTCGCGGTAGGTTAAAAGGAGCGTCTCTCTCGTTGCCGTCTGCTAGAACGAAATCCGGGTGGTGCGGCATGTGTAACCGCAGGCTTTAGTTCCTGAAGGACCACTTAAACCCTCTAAACTTTCCCTCCCCGTTCCATCCCTCAAAGATGTGTCTTTCCTTTTCTATTTCTTTCTCTCGATAATCGTCTTCATTATTTTCATTTTTGTTACACGTGTCAGTATCCGATGATTATGTTGTAAAACGGTGAAAAAAAATAGTAGGATTAGGACCTAAAAGTCAAAACGGAAGCACTTGATTGGAGTATGAAGAAAAAAAACGGCAGCAGGAAAACTCGACTAACTCGTCTAATGTATGTAAAAAATTGAAATTATTTTTTACAACGTACGAAAACCTTTTAAAGTTCCCAAAGTGTTTCTTCGAGAACTTCAGTAAGAGAAAAAATCCCAAATCAATGAAAAAACACACAATGAATTGATAAAGACACATGTAGTAAAAAAATATTTTAACGGAGATGATTTAAGATTCGACAGAGACATTTTCAACTTTGACTCATTGCTTTCTTAGCACGACGAACTTTCATGTCAGACGGATAAAGAAGTCCGGTCGACCTCCGTGAACCTTGAGAAGGCACATTTATCTTGGCGTCATTATTAGTATCTAAAATAAATGATCGAGACGCGTTGGCTTATAACGTTCAATGTAATCGTCGAGCGTTATCAATCGAGCGAGGTTTAATTATTGCCGAAAATAGACAGAAGAAGGAGAGCAGCAAGTTGCGACGCGCAGGAGATGAAGCGCGCCGCAAGTAACAAGTTGCGTGCGTGCGATATCGACTCGGTCGTGAACTTGAGCTTGCACAAGAACCAAAATTAATTGAAGACGACACCGAGGAGGTATTTAAAGAAAGAAATTGCATGTCTTAATCGAAACTTATCTTCGACACGGCATGCCTCGCGAACGTGATATTACACTGCAATAAATTTCCGATCGACTTGAGAATTGTGATTTTACATCAGATTACAAGAATAACGCCTGTATTTACTGGGTATCTTGTAATCGCGTTCTCAAAAATAGTTGTCTATCCAATAGACTTTCTGACCTCGCTTCTATTACGATTCAATTTACACTTGAGAGCATAATTTTGCAATACATCGGTTGAATGAAAAGCTACAACCTTCGCTAACAGATTGCAACGCGATTTAATTACCTCCCAGAGAATTCGTACGACATGGAAACGTGTCACTTATATTTCCAAGTCGGGAATGGCATGAGTTTGATTGTGGTCATTGATATTAATACCGGTTGGCATTCGATTAGATACCTGGATGCGTTAGCACCTGAAAATATGGCGGAGTTATCGTGAACCAACGCGCGTCTGCTAGATACAACCCTATCATTACCTCTGTGTATCGCACGTAGACACAACTAGATTAGGCCTACGCGTTCGTGCAACCTAGGTCATGGCCGTATCAATGCCTCCTTCGATAGCCGTCGGCGCGTGACGTCGTGGAAACAGGTGTCGCAGACATATAGAGGTACATTAGGACACGACGACTCTTTCATGGCTACCGTCAAGCCCAAAATCGTAGACGAGAATAAAGAATTCGGAAATTACGACGAAAATGCATCGTGGTACTAAATCATCGATTTCGACAAAATAATAACATTCTCCCCAAAAATGTCCGTAAAATAATAGCTAAATTTTGGGAATAAAAGAAATGAAACTTTTCCTATGTTTATGAAACTAAAATGACAAATTAGTATACATAAATTGTAAAATTATTGCAAAATAAAGAAAATATACTTAGAAATTGATGATACTATAATTACAATAGAAACAAGATATTTGATTCAAACTGGCGCGCCATATCACGATTATTATAATAGCTTATTTATTCTTTTGTTTTATAGTTAAAACAAGTTTGTTTCTCTCTAAAGATAATATTTTTTTGAGACAGAGGAAAGTCCCCTATGATGAGATAGCGGAGTTTCCGCTGTTGGTTTCATCGTGAATTTATTGCCCTTGGAGTGAAATCTGTTTAGTGGAAAATTGATCGTTAGATCGTGTAATCGTTGCGAAAAAAGTTTGTGATTGAACTTGGACGTTGAAAACCTACTATCTTACATTAGAATTCTATCTCATAATAGAGGGACTTTCCTCTATCATTGAATATTAATAAATGTAAAATAATTATTTCTCCCCTGTAATGAAAGTGTACATAAGATCCTATGCAATATAAAACTGAAATTAGTGAGGTCGTAAAGAGTATTATAACATGCGTATGACCGATTGTGGATTGGAAAAGAGTTCATTGGTATTTATTAGTTAATCTGCTCCCGACAGGCCAACAAAACACAACAAAACCGCGAATTCATATCGCGGATTCTCGTTTACAAAGTCGACATGTCAGTGGTCAACAGCCAGTGACCTATACGAACGATAAATTTTCAGCCTCTCCCGATAACGATGGGAATTCGTAAGATACCCACCGCGTATCCTATCGATCATCCAACATTCATTTAACGACACTCACAAATAGTTATGTGCAGGCTAAAAGAGTCGGACGAGAAATTTTGTCCCCCAGGGATGCTGTGTCAAGTAAGAGGATGCTGAAACACGATACTGGAGTGGTCCGCTGGATCAACCCTAATTTAGTACCGTGAAAGAATTAGTCACAACTATGTGATTATCCGTGGCTAAGTCGATCCGGCCTACGTACCGCATTTTCTACGACTGGCGGAACATCGAGGCCTTTTCTTCGTTATTTATGATAATTGTAACATGAGCATCGCGACAGCTTGAATTACCGCCAAATCATCATTCGCGAAGAAACACTACCTCGCTGCCCTGAATCATACGTATTGTTAAAAAAATCCGACAGAGTGGAATTCGGCAAGGATCTCGACATAAATATCTAATAAATCGTTAATACAACTAGGGGGAAGACGATTCCTCACTCACACACATCCCACCGATGAGACCGTTTATATAATTATATAAAAATTAAATGCCTCTTTTTAGTCGATCGCATAACTCGGAAAGAGTGGATTTGAATGACGCATGTGCGTCAAGCGCGGAATTCGAGACGAGCCCGAAGGAACACGTATGTCTACACGCCCACCGATCACGTTTGACGATATCCACATCGATGCACGTCGATGCAACGCGGGAACACCACCTCGTGTCGTTTAGCGCCGGCGCTTATTTATTCTTGTACGATCGCAGATGCGCGCGACGAAGAATCGTCACATCAAAGAAACACCGCCCACTTCAGGAACGCACGATATGGCGCGCCGACGCATACGACCAGAGGAGTCTCTGGCTCCTCAAGGACCTCCTCGAATGAGGGTTGTTTACAGATCGGTTACTTCCAACTTCCCATGGCCATGTTACCCTGCACTTTGCCGTTTCGTATTTCTAACTGCCGCGTAGGTTTGAAAATTAGCCACAGAATATCAGAGTTGGAAAAATAAGGGAAGAAAAAACTATGTACAGCTAATAAAGTTACAGTGCCCACAGTATCAATCCCTTTAGCCATAGTCGCAGAATTTATCCTACTAGACAACACAAGCGCGCGCTTCGCGCACGCCATTTGCTCTCGCTAAAAATTGGCATGGTTTCACGATAGAACTTAAGTTCTATGGGTTTGACAGCCGCAAATAACACGACTGAAACATGTATCACACAAGCGAGACAGCCAATCAGCATCTCGGAAAAGCGACAACAAACTTCGAGACTTTCGACAAATGACTTCACACGCCTTTCTTTTATATAGGAGGAGACCTAATAAATTTTGCAAACACGGTGGTCCATAAATATTAGTAAACATTTTTTGTGAAGCCATCAAACCAACAAGTTTTTCTGAGGATGGCTTTACGAAACAATCAAACTAGTATGCTATTAAGTAGAAGATAAAGATTCAAAATATATTATTATAAAGCACTGGAGCTGCACGTGAAAAAATTACAAAATACATTCAACAGAGGTCGTGACAATTAGTAAGTTACGAATAATGTTTCTCGTTACGTGCGCTTTTTAGTGCGTTCGCGCTATCTCAACGATACCCGGCCAATTCTTGCACTTTTATTGCTGGAGACACGAATCCTGCGATTTGATAATCTAAATCGTGAGGATACATTGCGATCATATGCAAATGTCGATATGACGAATTTCAGGAGTACAAGTGAATTAATTATTATCGCTAGACGGATATTTAATAAGGGTCTCTCATGATTTCCTTCAGTTATAGCATTAAAACGAAAAGAATGAGATTATCAACTTATTAGTTACGACACAAGTATGCGATTCGCCTGCTGTTGATCAATTCTCAATAATTCTTTTAATGCTGAATCTTGATCGACCATAATCACATCTTTTAATTTTACTTACAAAATATCAACTGTTCACTTTTGACATAAGTTTTTTCATAAACATGCATTTTTATTAAGAAAGAATCTCGGCAATTTTTACGTATATACTTCTGTTCACAAGAAGAGCATTAAAAAAGTTGTTCCAATTCAACTATAAAATAACACTATTATTAAGCGCCGTTTAATTAATAATGAACAATCTTTTACTCACTTGCAGTCAAACTCGCCGCGGCACTAATTTGCGTCGGTGCTGTCGCCGGATTAACAGTTTGCCGTCTAGACGGTGTGCCGTATTGTGACGCTAATGCATCGGTTGGTGATACATACGTCCAAGAGCCGTCTATGGGGGAGACAGCGGCCGTACCGGTGGTATTCTGCTGAGAGGATGAATATGGCGGACTGTAACCGCGAAAACTCGTTCGAGTACCAAAAGGTTGTGAAAATGCCGGTAAAGATTGATGGGACACCGTGCCCGCAGGCTTGCTGCCATAATCCTCGGAATTCGAGAGCGCACTCAAACCTGTAACTGTCAGGACAACGAAACTGTATTATATTATGAAAAATCCCCAAAACTTATATAGACTGTCCTTTTAAACAGGTGTCTGGTTCCTCAAATTCTGGAAATTATTTTCTAAAACCGTGAAATATGGAGAGCTCATTGCACGTTTTAAGTTTGGACAGTCTTATTTATATCTGTCGCTTGTGAAACTATAAATCACAATCCCTTTTTTAAAATATAATCGACGGGGATGTCGTTAATATCGAGTAGTTGAGACCCCTCTTCGAGGCGATGCTAATTGATTTTCTTGGAGCGTGATCCCAGGTAGCCAGCTCACTTGTCATCATTTTGTCGTCTAAATGACGACACGCGACGTCAGTTGGCTACCTGGGATGTGCTTCACGTTTCTTTTAGATTCATCCGCATCTTGCTAAATTTTGACATTTCGTGGAAAAATATACTTAAGGAAGGTTAGAGAATGAACAAAAAGTCAAACAAAGAGAAATTAAAGTTGAACATCTAATTGAGTGTAAACTTTAATTAAAAAATGAGCGACAGTTTGAAAAAATAATCAGAATGCATTCACACGACATCTGTATAATTTAGTGAGAATGGACGAAAATAAAAGGTAATATAAAAAAATGATTTAACTATTAACTCCACTTATCAAGAGAATGGAAATGTCTATCCTAAAAGGTAAAAATAAGAATAATGCTAAATGACTCGCGCATAATGTATTGTTCTAGTTTTATTAAAATCGATTTGAAACTAGTTGAAAAATATGGTCAATTATAATTAAGAATTTACATTTCTAGCTAATAAAATTTTGACAATTTAGTGGATCATCGATCACTGATCATTGATCATATTTTGTATCTAATTTTTATCGAATAATTTTCAATCAAATATTGCTTAAGTAGGGAGAAAGATATTAAATTAACAACGCGTACGTATAGAATAAAAATTTCGTTACATTTAATGAATCTATCTCGCTCTTTGCTTCGTGATTCTTTACTTCGTATTTCTTTATCCTGACCTAAGCATTGTCAATTGTCCTCATAGCTGGTATTTACCTTGTGCATTCCAAAGTTGAGATGACGATGCCAGGTCCGTAGAATTGTAAGAGAGAGCATAAGTTCCTCCGGTTCCAGCCGCGGTACCCATTGCGCTGACGCTCGTCATCGGTCGATACAATGACGAACTGTAACAGTAAAGCTTATATATAGAACGCAGAAGATGGTGTCCCGTATTATTTGGTTAATCTGAAATGTGTCGTTTTGTCTAGCAATATCAATGGAGCAAAAGAAACGGTTCGATTTGTTTAGAAGCGAAAAGCACACGCACTCGCGTGGCGCATCTACAGCACCATTTCGCCTGAAAAGGCTCATCTTATCAATTTTCATATCCTACATCATGCACAGCCTGTGTACGATATTAGTACGGTATCAATAGCGAAATATTAATTGGTGATAATTTGGAATGTGGTGACAAAACTGCGTCTTTCCGTTTGCCGCTTCCTCGCGCAACGACGTTTATGTTAGGTTCTGGTAATGATGTTTCAAGATAATCGAGTTGTTTTCGAAATTTACGAGAGAAGCTGAATATACACTTAATTATTGACCCTGTCGCTGCGGGAAATTGCAGTGCAAAGCGCGCACTGCGGGTGGTGGACGCTCAGCGACGATGGACGCTACGAATGGTCATACGACTTTCTTTTGTACGTTCTATAGAGAAAATGCATACGAGTTAAAATATTGAATTGATTTGCTTTACTATTTTAACAAAGAAAATATTTTGATCGATTCCTGGTTTTTATTAAATTCTGCAGTACAAACGTTAAATATAAAGATATCGAGCAAGATATGAACAATGTTTGGTTGCTAAGCATTGACGAGATAAGTGCACCAACAAGGATCCGCTTGGCAAGCGACGTTTATAAGCGTAGAATGATTTAACTTAATTATGGTGTCTATAGGCGTCGACAGCGACGGAAAGATAAAATAAATAGTGTCAATTTCCACTCGTGTTTTGCGCGCGGATCACGTTTCGCGAATAAATACGCCCCTACCCATGGGATATGTGGATCGCGAGGCGGCGTGTACCTCGCGAATCGATCGTTCGGATCGATCGTTCGATCCGAATGCCCTGGAGAATTACTCTTATTTTTATTACAAACCCAGTGAGAAATGATTCGACCTCGTTTTGACATCGATCGACGAGTCATTTCTCGCTGGGGATTACTTGCATGTGCATAGCGCTAGGTTGCGCACACCTATGTCAATCGCGAACTTATCCGTCTCTTGAAATTTTCCGAAATTTAACTTCGACTTAACATTGAAAAAAAAAGGAAACGAGTTCTAATTAAAAAAGGGTGCGTATGAAAAGTAATTTAATTGTTGTACGGTAATGAAAAACATATAAATTGAACATTTCCCTATTTCTGCAACTGATTTGCCAACACATGCCTATAACTGACAGCGGTATCATGGTATTATTAGCATTGGAGGGAATCGCTATTCCGTGTCGGTAACACCGGAAACTAACCGTCGCGGGAGAGCGGAAACCCCGCGGCTGGACACATAATGCGGGTGCGGGTGTGGGCGCGTGCCCGAGAAGGCTACCCTTTCGGTTTGTCTTCGCGTCCCCTGCTACGGATGACCCTCATCTTATGAAAGGTACGACATGGCTACTCCATTACCATTGCCATTACGAGTTGTTTATACCTGGCTTCGACTCAGCAGCCACTTGAACGCAGCAGGATTCTACTAAACTTGAACGGAATAACGAGCCGTCAGACTTATGGCACGAGCGAATTATGTGTCTCCACTTAAACGCATTTTTCGAAGCGACATTATCCTCGGCGAGGAATGTCGATGAATCCCCTGGATTTGTGTCCCACAGGTTTCGGAAAATCCGATTACACGGGAGTTAAAATGATGACGCGTTCAAGTGGAACGTATGACAAATGACATTTTTTTATCATTTATCATAACCAGGACTGTCACAATTACATTTAAACGTTGACAAATTTTTGCTCACTTATATTCCCAGAAAATGTGTGACAAAATTAATTCTATTAATTTACAAAATTCGTATGGCTCGCACGATGATAAACACGAAGGACTAGGAGCCGTGATAGGATGTTAATGTCTAAATATTTCATATTTTAAATTTATTGCGAAAAATATTACCTCAGCCAAGGTATGAACCTGAACCTCCCTCTCGCCAGGTTTAAACCCTGGCTGAGGTAATATTTTTCGCAATAGATGCAAAATATGAAATAATTAGACATCAACACCCTGCCACGGCTCTTAGTCCTTTATTCCTTCAGATTTGTGTTTATGAATTTAATTTTTTTTTTATTGTACAGCGCAATTGCATACGCATTTGGACGATCGTTATTGATTCTAATGTAAATTAATTAATTTGGATTGTGTGGCAAGTCTTAGCAGACTCTCTTCTACCTATGGTGTAGGCTTTTATTACGTGTAATTATGCGCGAAAAGTCATCCTGCCGTCGTCAGAACGCTCCGCATGCCACGCGCGCATCGCGCACGTGCACTTTATCTTCGAGCGCATTAACGTGTCCCAAACAAGGTAAAGAAGCGGTCGGCGTAAAACAAACGAAAGCACCGCTGTACGCTCGCGATGATGTCAATACGGATGCGTCCTTGAGCACTCGCGCGGTGGCCTGGGCACGTTTCTGCATACCGGTACGTGTCCAGAGACACCTTTGCGATTGCTCTCGCGATGGCGAAGATTGCCGAGGTGCTTCTCGCGTGGTGTCCAAACTCATCGCCGATCGACAAAGAAAGATAGAAACATTGATAAGCGCGTACAATTTCGTCGGAAATTAAACACAAAAAGAGCTCTATCGCCCGCTAAATGTTACGTTAGAGATATAAAGTGAACGAAAAGATTGAGAAGATTTAGTAATATAGATTTATAGTTTGAATCATGTGTAATATATCAATGACTTACACTTGAAAGTAAAGTTGAATAGTAAATTTTAAGCGAAACAAAACTTGCAAATTTTGCCACCTAAATATTGGCAATAAATATATCTAGAAGGCACAAGCGATGCTTGCGTGCGAGGCGGAACTTATTAATTAGTTTTCAATTAATAATTTTTTAAAATTAATTAGCTCAAGTTTTTCTGAAATTCCTTATTTTATATCACACGTGCACGGCATATGTGTTATTAACACGTGAATGCCATGGTTAGATGAAAACTGCGACTCGCAAAAGTGCAAAAGTGCATGCCCAGCATATTGCTCTTAATCGCCAGTAGAGTTGTGACGAATATGAAATTTGCAGTCAACTCGACACCCGATGGTCTGACCTTTCGAGAAATCTGCTTAGGCGATTTATATTTACATAACGGTTAAGGTAGGTTATGACACGAAACGGCAGGACTGATCGACGACGATCGCGACAAAAATATTTTCAACGATGTACAAGAAGATGGAAGTTAATTTTCGATGGAATAAATTGCAAAAGAAGGAGGGTAACAAATTTTACAGTCTAGATTCTCTTCAAGCAGCACACGGTGAATATCTTTTAGAATATTCCGCGATAAAAACCACCGTGAAAAACTAATAAAATTGTCAAGTTCGAAATCGATTATGTCAAAGAATCTCGTGCCGGAAGACACAATTTATCCCTATGTGCATTTTGATCGTAGGTAAAGTCCGTATCAGATTACAGATTGAGATTGGGATTAGATTGAAATTTGACCGATCACAAGTAAAGTTTATTAATCTCAGGTTTAGTAACTTTTACTCTAATTGGTCAAATTTCAATCTAATCTCAATCCGTGGTCTGATATGGGCTCAAGAGTTACGATGAACCCGCGTGGACCCGCGCGCATTTTACATTGGCAATGTAAATACCGGTGAATGAGAGTCGTCTAACGGTTTCGATTGTCTTAGGATGTGTCGTACGTCTGACACGAGCTCAACGGACATGAGGATGAGTCTTAAGTGCATCGGCTAAGTGCGATGGAACGTCCAATGCAATACGAGTGCATCAGGAGCGAGACCGTTCTCCGTGGAACTGGTTGCGCGTATCCTGGATGGTTGTGTACCAGGTGCAATCGGGTACTTTGTAAACCACTAATACGAGAGGAAACGGTATTAAAATGGGCACGCGCTGCATGCAATTGCACACCCGGTGCAACGATGCGCACGATCCGTCTCGCTAATGCGTTTCGCAATGTAAACGACCGATGGTGGTGAGGCGGAAGGAACCTTCCTTCGACAAACTGAGAAAGGTTGCAGGCGTGGTGAAAAAAAATACACAATGCGTGAATTTTTCCACGATTGACAAACATTAAAGTAAAGATTAACAAACAGCAAAGTCCTAAGTAAATAAAATTACAATTCTAGACTTTCTAGAAAACATGTTTTTGAGATAGAAAAAAAACTTGTGGTCACATTATTGATAATGCGCATAATATTTGGGGAAACGCCGTTTACATAATATAAAATCGAAATCTTAGACAAAGAAAGGAGGAAGTAAATGGAAAAATATAATAACCTCTAAAATAAATAAATTTGATCATCCCATGGGGAGAGAATATTTCTTGTAACCTGTAGTTTGCTCTTGACAAACTCGAATAAGGGTCTAATGTGACGTAACGTCATACTAACAGGAATCGAGGGCGATTTTATAGTCAGCAGGCGAATGTATGTGCGCGCGTATATTCTATGCATGCGTAACGGTTGCACGGAGAGTTCAATAGCAGATCTCTCGGGTTTCTTCTAAGAACCTCTGCCGCACTTTTAATTAGTACCGCCGCCGCCGCCGACGCCGCCTCTGGTAATCTTGATCTCAAACTTCTTCCTCCCACAAGACGCAAGTATAACGACTGTAACGATTGTTTAGATAATCCATAAGGCCGATGAAACTGGATGAGAAACTCTCATCAATAAACGACTATGCTCTATAAGTCGATAATGTAACATGTTACTTATATCGAATCGTAAAAGTTTGCAGTAAGATTAATTATAACCTTTTAATCATTTTTCGGGGGAATACCAGATTAGCTCATCGGAATTATAGCGTGTGACAAGTTTATTTAACAAACAGAAGATAAACTACAGATATAATACGCGTACTATGTGCCACTGGAGAAAGACGAGGGGGTCCCTCACGGTTGACGAAGAGTGCGAATTTCGCGAAATCCAATATAGCGAGTTT